GGCGTGGGCTTGGGGGGCATCTAGTCCCCCACTGAAGGTGGTGAGCCCAAGCCAGGGGTGGCAGGTGCCCCAAGAGCCCACAACCCCCTTCGGTGACAGAGGGGGACCTCTGGGAGCTGGGCGGCCCGCAGGCTGAGGGGGCTATCTGACCAGCAGAGGGAGGGGAAGAGGCTGCGGCCAACCGCCACGGTGACGATGACCGCCACCTCCCATTCCAGACACAGAATGCCGTGCGCCCCCAGGCGTGGGCTGGGGGGCTGGGGAGCAGTGGCTGCACCTCCTGGAGCTCAGGTCCCGAGGCTCAGGGGCGGAACCTCCCCGCGGCGGTGCGGGGGCGGGGCCCGAGCCTCCCTGCTGCCACCAGCCAGGCCTGGCAGAGGGCAGGGGCCGCGAGGGTCCCCAGGGCCCTGGTGTTTACTTGAGACTCATCAGAGGAGCTCTCTGACGCACGCGCGCCTCAGCCGGGTGCCAAGGACCCGCGGGCCCGCCGCGCCACCTCCACCTTCGCTGCCCGGGCTCTGCAGGGCGCAGTACAGCTGCTGCCCCCTCCAGGCAGCCCGCCGGACTGCTCCGCCAGCACACACACGCACGCACACACGCACACACGCGGGCTCACACGACGGGATCCACGCCAGGTTACCTGTCCGCCCCTTCCCCCCAACTACCCTCTTCTTTGGCGTGACTACCCCATGTTCTCATCTGTTACTGGCCTCTGTGCCAGCCCCCAGCCCCCCAGCCAAGGCCAGGTGCTCCTCAATTGGAGACCTGGATCACCCCCGCACCCCCTGCGACTGGCTCAGTCTCCTTGGTTGTCTGGAGGGGTCTCAAGAGTGGGGAGGGGCAGGGGGCAGAGCTCAGCACGAACACAGGCCCTGGTTGAAGCAGCCAGCATTTCTGGAGGCCCTGTCCTCGGCTGTGTGCTGGCTCTGCCTCTGTCCAGCTGGGTGACCCTGGACAAGGCACTCACCCTCTCTCTGCTTAGGTTTCCTTGACTGTCCAAGGGGGCTGACCACAGGGCCCCCTGAGGTGATGAGGGAGAGATG